AACGTTTCGCCAGCACCTGTGACCGGCATCTTCAGAGGGCAGGAGCACAGACAGGAGCAGGTCTCTCTGTGCCCAGCCACACAGCCCGGAAGACCCACACCAGCCATCGTATGCCGGCCGTGAAAGCCTTCGACAATACATATCACCCAAATGTTATAAACTAACCATCAGATCTGTGTTTGGAGTGTAAGCCCTGCTGGGGAGGCTGGGGCCACCCTTCTGAAGATTTCCTGGAAAAACATCACACCCATGAAGGAAGTAAGAAGAAGCATGTGGCCAATACTGTCAGATGCTTTTCATAAGGCAGGAAAGAGGACACATTGGCTAACCGGTTTATGAAATTTATAGACCCACTCAAGCTGGTCAGACTCTAGATGGTTTATAACAATGTATAATAAATATACAAGAAGAAGAATACAAAATAATATAGTACAAAAATATAATGCAATATAGTGATGCAATGAAACTAATTCCAGTGTCAAGGACTCCAAAATCAATTCCTGATGACTTCTGGAAGAGCCAGGGATTGGATGGATGGAAGGAAGGAAAGAAGGAAAGAAGATATAGAGGAGGGATGGAAGGAAGGAAAGAAGGAAAAGGAAGGAGGAACAAAGGAACCATAACTCAATAGCAGAACAATTCATTTGATCCGGATCATGGGTTCAATTTTAGTTTTATTTGCTATGTGCTTATATCTGAGTGCAGTACAAGACTTATTTTTACCCCATAACAACAACCCTGTGATGTAGGTGGAGCTGAGAGTGAGAGATCAGTCTAAAATCACCCAGTGAGCTTTTGTGGCTGAGGAGGGGACTCGAACCAGGGTCACCCCACTCCTGGTCCAATGGCTTCACCCCTTCACAGCCCTGGCAGTTTTTCCTGTGTCTCCATTGAAAAGGAGCAGGTAGCATGTGAAAAACAACGATCATCTCTTTGGCCTGAACTCCTGTGCTAGCAGAGCCTTGTGGGGAAGGAGGAGAAGAGTATATCCATCCATAGTCATTCAAAAGAGCGGTTAACCTAGGAGTGCCACTTAAAGAAGAGGAAGATGGAACAACCAGACCCTGTAGTAACCCACGAATCAAATAAAAAGTTCTTTAAACCCCTTTTAAAGGCCATCACATTTCCAGAGAGATGAGGGGAGCTGATTCCAGAGTCTGGAACAAATCGTCTTCTCTGCCTTGAGGCCCCTTCCTCTGCTTCTTTGAATATCAGACCAGACTGGAATCTTACTTCCCTTTAGTAGAGGACTTTAGCTCAGTAGCATTCATTTTATGTTCGGGAGGGCAACTCTTCCCGGACAGAGAGCCAGACTAGGTCTTGAGATTGCACCCCAAAAGGCAGCAGGCAATTGAATGAAATTCCATGTAATTAAAACTATAGAATCAACGAAACTTTGGAACATGCTACATTGGGGTTCATGCTGAACGCAGGAACCCCAATTACAGCATCTCCAACAGATGCTGTTCTACCTTTGCTTGGACACAGTCGCCAAAGGGGGAGCCCAGAATCAGTTCCTCTGTTAGGAACCGCTGATTAACTGATTGATTGATTATCTGCCATCAAGTCATTTTCAACTTCTAGTGACTACATACATAGACCTTCTCTGGGTCAGTCTGTCCCCAACCTGGTCCTT